GTATCAATTGTGGCTTTCTCTTTCCTATTCAATAAAAAAAAAAAAAAAAAAAAAGGGAAAAGGTCAGAGAGAAAAACAAGAATAACAAATTCTCAAATTTAAGTATAGCAGACTGAGGGGGTTCATAAAAATTTCAGCCAACAAATTTGTTTGTATGCCAGGAGATTTTACCCTAAAATCTACCATAGTGGTGTGTGTGCATGCATATCAAGTGAAATTTCTACATGTAGTTTCTGTAGACAATAAAAAGACAAAGTGTATGGCAGAATAACCAGACTAAGTCTTATTAAGGGTGTTAGAGAAAAAAGGGTGTCATTCTTTTTAAAATAACTTTATAAAGGATTTGTATCCATCACGAAAGGATAGCTACTAGTATGAGAACAATAGAAGAACAAACAGACACAATTCCTGCTACAATTGAAGTAAAACAAAATTCAGAACTTCACATTTTTCTTTTTGCCTTAAATATCAATGAACTACCAGCATTCAAAAGGATTTACATTGTGTATGTGTTTAGTTGATAATCAATTTATGTTAGGGACTGTTTCTTTTCCCTATTAATAAAAGGACAAACACTTGATATTTAAGAGATCATTCTGCCACTTTTCAAAGCTAAGGTAATTTTTCTTCAAAATTAGATCTTTGCAAACATCAAAAGTAAATGACCATTTGTGAACCAAACAAAAGCTAAGGGACCAATTGCAATTTACCCATTGAAGTTATTTAGAGAGATATGCTGTCTCAAGGACTCCACAATGAATCTAACACTATAGAATGGAATAAGAAATATAACTTTTGGAGTTAACTTTCTAACTATACACAAACTAAAGCAATGTGTAATTGAGTCAGACTTCAACTTAAAGTTGTGAACATTTTGAGGGAGGAATTTGGAAAATAAAGTTGCAGTAAAGATTACACTGATCTTTGTACCCAAAAAATATAATAATAATATACTGATCTATCATGTGACAAAAAGGGGAAGGCAGACAAAATTATTTTAAATATAAGGATAAATACAAAATGAAAATTCTGAATTCCTTACCAAAAAAGGTCCTTTGGCCAGATGGCATGGGGCGAACTAACATGTTGGCAGCATGGGGATCGCAGTGCACAAATCCATGTTTGAACATCATTTCAGCAAAAGCCTGACTAACCTGCACAAAGGATATAAGCATTTATTAGTTAAATGAGAAAAAAAAAATGTGTGCATAGTTTCTGAATGAAAATATATGGATAAAGTGGATAAAACAAAAACTAGCTCCAGAGAAATCTGGGTTCAAGGTATAACCAACCAAGTAGGTCCAGGCATCCACTACTTTTTGTAATACAGCCAAAAGTCAAAATATTAATATGTTTAAAAGGCCTAGACTAATCATTTTACACCATATGTCCATATCACATGGATTTGGAACTAAGTCCTGAAACTTACTAATTTTGCAACATCACTTGGCCGAACTCCAAGAGTTTGAATGGTCTTCACATCATTTATTTGTGCAGCATCCATAAATTCCATGGTTAACAACTTTGAGGTACTTAAAGTCCAATATACCCTAGGGGCATAAACATAATCTGCAATATGAGGAGATAGCTTCCGAAAGTTATCCATACATTTTACGCTGTTTTTGGCCTCAACCAAGAAATCTAGTTCCTGATAGACACCACTAAAGATTATCAACATTTCATCAAAAACTAATCAATAGCGTATACTGATAATAGAAACAAAAATATATAGAAAGCAAAGTGTTAACCTTAGGTACACTTTCACGAACTTCATCAACCAACCACCTATATAAATCAGGAAAATTGATCAGAATAGATGGCAATGAAACAGGATATATGAGAACTATAGCATTAGGAGTCTCCCTGAAATACTCTGGAGCTAGGCTTTGATTTTAACTATACAATAAATGTTACACATATATGGAGCATGAGAAGGGTGAGAATCAAATTTATATCTGATGCATGGGCATAAGTCTGCTCATGTTATCATTGCCCACACAGTGTCAAAAGGTATGTTTCAGTACACCAAACCTATTAAAATCATTTCACAAGAAAGAATCATCTTCAAACCTGTAATCAAAATCAGGGAAAAACCGATGCAATGTGTTCACAACTAACCCCACAGTAGCATAATCAGCAGCAGCAGTATCTGTCATGTGGGTGTGCTGAACCTGCACTTCAGTGTAAGAGGATGAAGATAAGTCACTAGAAAATTTGTTTATGAATAGTATATAAAGAGTAACATTTTTGAAACCTTCACAGCAACTTTTTTCCCATTATGTGTGCGAGCAATATGTACTTGAGCAAGAGAAGCGCTTGCAATTGGTACAGGATCAAACTCTTTAAATATCTGTCACAAATTTTTATTTTTTTTAAAAAATAGTTAGTATGGCGAAGAAGCGAAGAATCCAATTTAAGAATTCATATCTAAGCAATATCTTAATATGATGGATTTTTTATTATTATTATTATTATTATTATTATTATTTTTTTTTTTTTGTTCATAAGTAGACACTATAGTTTATATTGAATTTATTAGTTATCATTTTTTGAGAGAAATTAATGCATGTGTACTTGATCAGGTGTTCCTCCAAGTTCTTTGCTGACAACTTCACAAACTTGTTCATAAGATGATTGAGGACATCTATTTAGCATGGATTCCCTCATTATGTGAACATATTCATCAGGTACTAAGTACTCCTGAAAAATAAAAGATAGAAGTTGAAGGCTTGAACATAATAATAGGTTAATATATGCAATTGTTGTCAACTAAACTTCTGCTATGTCATGATATAATGCTCAAACATGATCCAATCAAATATCTTTGCAATTACCTAAAGAGGAAGGGAGTAGCATACCAGCTGACCAAGATGTTGACCAAATTTTATATATATTCCACCATTTTTAAAACAAAGTTCTTCAAGTCTACGTGCACTCCTCAAATGAACTTCATGTTTGACTTTTTGTCTTTCTGCACTACCTTCTGGTAGTCCCCAGAGAGAATACTTGTAATCTGATAACAGGTCAAGTGTTCTAAATTCATTAATTCAATTTAGACAAAGGTTTGACCTTGGTGATGAAATTTAACTTCAATACCATAGTTTGTCAACATATTCTATAAAAATGCATGAACAAATAGATCATCTTGGGTGTTAATATAGACTGGATTTATCCTTTGAAACAAATTGGTTTCATGAGCTCAGAGCCTCAGAATATCAATGTAAGTTTACAATACAGAATGACCAACTTGACACATGCTGGAATGCTACATCTTTACTGCAATTTTAACTCCAATACTAAAGTTGTCAAAAGATGCTTCACATGAACAATTTGGTTATCTTCGGAGTTAATATAAATTAAGATTTTTCCTTTGAAACAGGTTGGTATAGTGAGCTAAGAGCATTGCAATTTTGTAATCCAGAATGAAAAATTGCACACATCCTGGAATTTTACAGTAAATTCTAAATCTGAAGCCTACTCCAATTGCACTCAATTTCATCAATCGGTAGTGCGAGCTAAGAACACAGTTGTACTTTTGTAATCCAGAATGAACAATTGCACACATCCTGGAATGTTACAGTCAACTCTAAACCTGAAGCCTACTCCAATTGCACTCAATTGCTTCAATTGGTAGTGCGAGCTAAGAACACAGTTGTACTTTTGTAATCCAGAATGAACAATTGCACACATCCTGGAATGTTACAGTCAACTCTAAACCTGAAGCCTACTTCAATTGCACTCAATTGCTTCAATTGGTAGTGCGAGCTAAGAACACCATTGTACTTTTGTAATCCAGAATGAACAATTGCACACATCCTGGAATTTTACAGTAAACTCTAAACCTGAAGCCTACTCCAATTGCTTCAATTGGCAGTGCGAGCTAAGCACATCATTGTAATTTTGTAATCCAGAATGAACAATTGCACACATCCTGGAATGCTAATTTTTACAGTAAATTCTAACCCCAAAACCTACTCTAATTACACTCAATTGCTTCAGTTCGATAGAATTTTACTGAACTTATCTTACATATTCAGCCATTTTAGTTGGCAGATCATACATATGAATAGTTATATTTCTTTATTTACTGAGGAGAGGCGTACCGAAAGTTATGGCGGCGGCGGTGACGGAATCGCGGAAGAGGCGAAGGGGGACAAGGGTGCAAAGCTTGAGGGCGGTAGCGGGGTCGTCGGAATTAGCAACAGCCGCGGCGGCAGCTCCGCCACCAACGACGGTGGCTCCAAATAGCAGCTTCGTCTGGACGCGCCACAGAAACCGCGCAGCCATGGCGTCTAGTTCCTACCTCCTCCGTCTAGAATTTCCGAGTGAGAGGTAGAAGATGGAACGGACCGGTTTGCGTACAGCCCGATGAATTTACGCGCTTCTTGCGTGAAGACCCAGGTGCCGTTAGACGTTAGTAGGTACTAGTACAGCTGTCATAATTAATTATTATTCTAAGTAATTTTTAGGAACAATCTCATTCATAAATATATATATATATATATATATATATATATATATATATATATATATATATATATATATATATATATAGAGAGAGAGAGAGAGAGAGAGAGAGAGAGATAAGGATCAAATAAGCCTTCTAACTATATTGAGTTGTGCAATTAGGCCCTTCAACTTCAAAAAGTTCCAATTAGAACCTTAAACTTACAAAAAAAAATTCAATTAGACTATTTTGTAGGTTACCTCCAAGTATCCTGTAAATTATTGCTGATTAGATTTTTGAAGCTGATTTGGCGTGTTGACATGGCATCCACGTATTTTTATTATATATTATATTAAATTTTATTATTAATTATTAATTATTATTAATAATAATAAAATAATAAAATAAAATAATTTAAAGAACTCTGGCAAATCACTGAATAAACGTAACGTGATAGCTGACTGCCGTTTCCGGAACATGGCTGGCGTAAGGTATTGGCGTCCGCCGTTGATACTGCGGTTGGAATTTCTTTCACGTAGCGGCGCTCCGGGATGAGTTTTTGAAGCAAAACAGACGTCTCCGGCGGATTCGAAAGCATTTTAGACATTACAAATCAATCTCAATATTGATTCTTGTATATATATACACACTTCTTTGTATGAAAAATCTATATATATATATAGGCTTTGGATCTGGTGCACCCCTCTAATAGATAGAGCCCATGAGGCCTAATAATACCCATTGATTAGATTACCATCTATGGTTGAGATTAAAAGAAATATTTTCAGTTATTATCTATGGTAAGGTTAGATTAGTAATTTGGTTAGCTGATTTAATTAATGAATTAATTTAAAAGGAATATGAATCATCTTTTGATGCTTTTGAGGATGGAAATTAATAGATTCTATTAATAAAAAGATTAGATAACATATTTAACGTGAACAAGCTGGTGATAGTAGGAGCAGCAAGTTAGGACTTTCAGCAAATGGACATTGGCAATCACGATAAGTGCATATACACAGCATAGTCTGTGCGTTTTCTGGTTTTTCCGGTAATGGTTGAGATGTGAAAAGGTCTGGGGGGTGGTCGTTAGCATGCGTTCACACCCCGTGTGCGTACGGGTACACCTGCCTGTGCGTACATATATACTTCCACCGAGCTGTTTATGTGTTGTTTTTGCTTTGCCTTGTACTGCTCAGTGCATGTGTACTTTTTTGTCCGTGCATATTAGGTTGTTTTTTGTTTTCATCCGTGCATACTTCGTGTCGGTGCATATGCTGGTTTTTGTATAATGCTTATAACATATACGCCGTTCTACCTTACAAAAAACCTGCTTTGTGTCCGTGATTTTGGTATTCTTTTGGTTTGTACCAATAAGTGCTTTAATGGTTCGAGTCTGTGCGTATGGTCGTTTTGAATATTGCTTATCAACTGGACGATGAAGGGGGGTGTCCGAGATTGGAACGTTGCGTTTTTTTTTTATTAACAGGAGTTAGCATTTTAAGAAACGGGTCTGTGCATAATTCAATCTTTATATATATATATATATATATATATATATATATATATATATATATATATATATATATATATATATTATACATGTAAAAACGCACAAACCTTGGGGCCTATGCACATACAATAATTTAAAATGCACGGACTACATAATACACTACATAGTGTAAATGCACGGACTACATATGTGTGTTATGCACATTTCCATCTACTTATGCAAATTTCAAAATTTAAATAACCATGCATTAACCAAAAAGCTGGGTAATGAACGGTAATAGCAAATTGACCATAGAAATAATGCGTAATACCAAATTGGTCATCGCGGGGGCAAATTCACTTATATATATATTATATACATGTATATACGCACAAACCGTTGTGGACCAATGCATAGACAACAAATTATAATAATATATGCATTAGTACACCTAAAAAAAGTGCATGTATGGAATGCGTTGTAGACGAAAGGTACGTGCATAGTTGCGCACTGGATATCATGTGCGAAAGGCAGTGTAAAATGGACGAATAATATTTCATATTTAAGTTTTATCGCACTGTTAATAAGAAAACTCGAAATGACATATGGTCTAAGTCCGAAGCAATACATAAATACAAACAAAAACGTAGAGTTGGGGATAGAATAATAATACTAAATATAATAAAGGTGTTCAACGAGACGAGTCAGTTGCCCTCATGGCGGAGTTGAAATTCATTCGGCGATGGGTGTTGTTTTGAAACAGCAGGATATCATACATATATCGTGTGCGTAAGGCACGCAAGGCACGTGCGTCACCTCCGCAAAAACCACAATCCCATGAAGCATAGGACTGTCCAACATAAACTAGTGTCAATTAGCTTGTACATTACACTTTAACCTGCACAAAGGAACATATTGCTATGCACGAACCTATGCCACCGATTACGTAAGCCCAAAAAATCCAAAAAATAAACACACAAACAACCAATACACGTGGTGGAACACACATACGTACATAACCGAAATAAAATCAACAGTAACAAACCTGACACACCTTACCCCTAACCATGGTTGAAATAGGCGCTAGGCGCTAGTCGGGCGGTAGAGTAGCGCCTAGCGCCTAAACGGTCTAGGCGGTCGCCTAGGCGGCTAACTGAAAAAAAGAAAAACAGTGCACTTGTGTAGGTGCATATATGTCATATTATACACACATACACACACACATATGTGTGTGTGTATATATATATATATATATATATATATATATATATATATATATATATATATATATATATATATATATATATATATATATGTCATATAAATGAAAAAAATTAGCAAGGTCGAGTCGGTCGGGTTAACTCAGCTAACTCGACAGAAATTGATGAGTTAACTCGGCGTAATTGGCCGAGTTAGGCGCTAGGCGGACGCCTAGGCGGGAGCCTAGGGGGAAAATCGCCATGGCCTAGGGACGCCTAGCGCCTACGCGCCGATTACTCGGTGCCTAGGCGGGATTTTTACAACCCTGCCCCTAACATGCACAGAGTAACAACTACAACGCACCAACCACCCCACCCAAGCTAGGACCTTTTTTCTACTTGCAGAAAGAACAACATAAGTATACAACAAAAATGCAGGGCACATTCAACACCACAAAATGTCAAGATTCACCTATTTTTTTCTTCTCCCTTTTAAAACCACAGCCAATGTGGACATGAAACAATAAAATCAACAATAATGAGAGAACAAAAACATGCACATCTGAACATTTTCAACCAGATATACTTTGGGGATTTCAAAAGTATAAATATCATTTATTGCCATTCCTATTCACTGCTTACACTGAATTTCCATTCTTTACAGCAATAAAAACACAATAGTTAGCACACACTGAGCTAAGCTTACTTCCACTAATATAAACACATTCGAAATTCATGACAACAGTAAGTGGCTATTTTACTAAAATTTAAGATATGGCCAGATGAACCTGCAAAAACTAAACAATCTTGTACCCAAAAAAAT